TATTGTGTTCGCTCTTTGATAATAATTGTGTTGAATGTTCTGATGATTCATCGAGAAAATGTATCAAATGCAAACTCGGGTTGTACCCAAAAGAAGAAAACCAATTTACATGTCAAGCATGTGACACAACATGTGGTGACGATTGCAACGCAACAACTGGATTTTGTAATAGTTGTCAAGCTTATCACGTGCTTTATGATGAACCGTCTTTGACGTGTCAAATGTGCACTGATTTTGATAGCAATTGTCAGACTTGTTACTCAAATAAGAGAGCATGTAAAGTTTGTCAGGAAGGGATGTACCCAGATGAAGTAAGTGGGGTGTGTAAGCAATGCAATGAAACGTGTAATAACAAGTGTAATACGAGTGATGGGACATGCACTGCTTGTATAACAAACTACGCATTTACAGACCCACCAGGACTTTATTGTATTCCATGCAAAGAATTTGACCAAAACTGCAAACAATGTGGTCAAACGACATTCAAAAAATGTTACGAGTGTGAGACTGATTTCCGTCCAGACCCAATAACAGGGAAGTGTGTTGGTTGTGCAGACGGTTGTCAAAAATGTGGAGCCATAACCGGTAAGTGTACAATTTGCGCAGATGGATATGTTCCAAACGACCCTCAAAATGAGAGTTGTATTCTTTGTGACCAATTTGACACAAAGTGTGAAAAGTGTTCAGAAAATTTTGAAAGGAAGTGTGTCACATGTAAAGATCATCAAAACTATCCTCAATTGGGTGTGTGTGATGTTTGCAATACAACATGTGGTGGAGCATGTAATCCCACTACAGGGTATTGTGAATCATGTTTGCCTAATTATGTGTTCACAGATCCACCTTCAACATCTTGTGAAACATGTGAAGAGTTCGAACCCAACTGTATGGAAGGATTTTGTGAATCAAATTTCACTCGTGGATGTACAAAGTGTAAAAGTGGTATGTATCCACAACAAAATGGAAGGTGTGGTGATTGTGACCCGACATGCGGCAATAAATGTGATGGGACAACTGGTGCTTGTACTGGATGTAACACAAATCACGTTTTTGTTTCTGATGATTCAAAAGTCTGTATACCATGTGAAACGTATGACACTAATTGTATCACATGTAATGATCAGTATAAGGCTGAGAAGTGTGTTAAGTGTAAAAATGGATATTATCCATATACCAATGGGACGTGCATTCTTTGTGACTCGACTTGTAATGGAAAATGCAATACGGAAAATGGTGAATGCACTGGATGTCAAGATGATTATGTGATGAGTGGAATGAACTGTATCACATGTGAACAACACAACATCAACTGTTCGACATGTGACAAATCAGGTTTGGGAACATGCCAAGTGTGTAAAAACAACAATTATGCTCAAGATGGGAATTGTATACCATGTAAGTCGACATGTGACAATTGTGATGGAGTTACAGGGAAGTGCACAACGTGCCAATACAATCTGGTTGAAACGGAAAAAGGCAGTGGAAAGTGTGAAGAGTGTAAAAAATTCGATTCGAATTGTTCGCTGTGTGCGAGTGATTCATCACGAAATTGCACGAAATGTGAGTCTGGGTATTACCCTGTATTACAATCGAACGAGAGTAAAATGTGTGAGCCATGTGATTCATCATGTAATGGAATTTGTGATGTTTCGTTTGGCTACTGCTTAGGATGTATTGACAATTTTGTTCTCATTAATTCGACAAGTTATGTTTGTGAAAATTGCACATCTTTTGATTCAAATTGTGAGAGGTGTTCATCTACTTTTGAAAGGAAGTGCACAAGCTGTAAACCGACATTCAAACCAAGTCAAAGTGGAAAGTGTGAACTTTGCAATGAGACATGTAAAGATAATTGTGATAGCACAACTGGATATTGTACTTCATGTAATGCAAATTACGTTTTATCAAATCCACCTTCATCAAGTTGCATCACTTGTAAAACGTATGACACAAAGTGTGTGGAGTGTCCGGGAGGTGTTGAGAGAAAATGTAACAACTGTGAGTCGGGGTATTATCCAAAAACT